ATGTGTCCTAATTGTGAACTGGATTAAGGTGCAACTGTGAGTTTATCAATTTTTATTTTTGGCCCATTAGTTTGGCCATTATAATTTAAATTGCTTGAGAGCTACATTGTTGGTTTGCCTTTTGGCGGGAGGTGCATCTGCGAAGATAGTATTACTATCATCTCTATCTTCTGGAGGCGAGCTGTTTGAGTTGACGCTCATCGAGATTGGAGGAAAAGGTGGAAATTATTTGTGAATAATTGAAAGTGAATTGTCGGCCCGCCATCTTGTTTACTAGTTGGGTGCCAAGGTCGGGCAAGTTAGTGAAGCTTCGGTCCGCCATCTTGTTGTTTACAAGTTTGGGGCCAAGGTTGGGGTTTTTTTCCGTGACGCGTTGGTCCGCCATCTTGTTGTTGACAAGCTTGGTGGACAGCTGAAGGTTGGACGTCTCTCACACCGAAGTGAGTGGGCTGTTACACAGAACAATAATAAGATCTTTTTAAAAAAAAAGATTTAATGAATTCAATTACAAATATATTGATTTAGAAATACAAAGGAAGTAGTATTAAAAATTAGCACGTCTGATCGGACAGGAGCTAGGAGATCGACTGAATGGATGGGAAATGAGAGGTTGTTTGTGCATGGGAAGAAATGATGACGAGGATAGGGCTTAGGGTATGTCAGCAATATAGGATGCAATGGGGAGTTGTAACAACCCCCCGATCAAGAGTAAACTTATACCCTGAAGGGAATAGTTTACGAGGATTAGGAAAAGGTATTTAATCCTTGCTAATACGAAGTGATGGGGGAGCAGGACTTCGTCTTTCGATTTCATCTAGAACGGAATTAGAGATGGGATCTGGAACGGATACATTCTTATGTTTAAATGGGAATCTCCTATAAACATTAGTGCATTTACAGATTTTAAATATAATGTAACTTAAAATTAAGATCACTACAACAATTAAAATTATATTATAAGAGTTTTCATATAGGACAATATTTTCCTTACTTACTAACTTATCTAAATCTTTGAAGACATTTTCTTTTCCATAGATAATTGAATCTAGATCAATATTCTTTAAATTAACAGTGGGTAATTGAGTACTTATATTTGAATAACTTTCTATGTTACAACAGGAGTCATTTAATATAGCTAATCTTATTTTTAAAGGCTTAAGAATAATAACAGGATAGTCTTTAGCTATAAGTTTGGAATCTTTACAATATGCAACACTACCAGCAGGTAAGTGTAAGATTCCGCTTCCGCTTATTTCTAATTCTACAGTTTGCGTTAAATTATATATTATACTCAATTTAGTTTTCTCAGACAATATAAATAACCATCTATTTTGTTGTAAAGGCTGCCAAATTTCAAAATGGCCATGGAAGAATTTCGTCTTACACGTTTCAGGAATATAGGTAAGTGCCTTAGTAATTATGTCTGTTTCACAGATAGGAGTTGTGAAAGTAGAGCGTGATATGACGTCATCGCAGATGTAAGTATCTCTATTAATTACTTTACAATTTTGGAGTTCATCTACTTTACAATAAAGAGATTTGTCGTTACTCAGGCCAATGTACTTAGAGGATGGTATAATGGTAGAATAAGAGGTAGGGTTCTCCACATTATGTGGCGTTGGATATGGTAAGTTATGATACAATAGGAAATCAGTGGGGCTTAGTAATGGAATATGAAGGACGAAAACTAACTCGTTCTTTGTCATGTATCCCGATATAGTAGAGATATTTAAGATAATATGAATATTTTCAAGACTTAGAAGAGTTGGAAATTTTTTAGTTGGTGGAATAAAACGGTAATTATTAATCAACTCTGTATAGAGTTCTTTAGGAGTTAGTATTCCGGGATGTAGCGCGTTGGACTTACTGAACATAATTGATTCCACCAGATCTTGTATTTTGAAAGATATAGTCAAGAGATTATTTCCTATCATTGATACGAGTTCTAGGACACGAGATTGAATTTTTAATTCACGAGACTCAATCGTAATATTTTCAACGGCCGTGCGGAGAGCACTTAATGCGACTGAAATTTCACGTTGATTTGATTCTACGATGCTAATCGATTTATTGAATGTCTTTAAGGCTGATGTCGTAACTATAATATTTTCCTTTACAAAAGACGCTATTTTCTTTTCGTCTGATTGAATTTCCCTAACTGCGCTATCATAGCGTATAGCATCTTCCTCGTCCATGGTGCCGAATAATTTCTTAGAGATAGTACCTATAACACCTAGTAAAGCACTCCTTTTTGTTGAGTGATGTGAGGCAAGATTTGGTATGGCTTCACTATAGCGAGTCATATCTTCATATTGAATTATTATAGGTTGAAATAAATTTTTACATTCTAAAGAATTAAACACTAGACTCTCTTCGCAAATTAATTTAGAATAATTTATACTACGTTGTAAATTTATTAAGTGAGGTTTTATATATGAGACATCTATAGGGACTACGACACTTAAATAACTATCAATTTGATTCAGGGAACCCACGGGATCGAAGTAAATTCCGGGGCTATTAATCATCTGTTCGATGAATTGTTGGGCCATGGAGGGATTGCTGAAAGAGGAATAGAAAATATTAGACTAAACTTATCGAAGGCTTATTAGCACTAGGGACTTACAATTTAAAGACCTAATAAATAGTTATTACTTTAGTGTTTACTAATCTGGCGAACTGGACCTAGGTGCGAGCTTAACCTCATCATAGTGATGAGTAACATGGCGTCGGTTTATAAGTAAGGTAAGGCTATTTCGTCCATTAATTTTTACTACCTTGTACGGTCCCTTCCATATGGGTGACAGAGCCTTTCGTAGGCGCACGTGGTTCTTAAGGTAAACGTAATCGCCTATTTGATATCTAACTGGCCGTGAATGGTTATCATAATAGTCTTTAGACCTTTCCTTAGATCTAATAATATTTTCGGTTGCTTTTTCCCTGGATAATTTGAGTCTATGATGAAGGAATTTTATATATTCAGGATAAGTTACATCAGGTGGTTGTTCGTAGACGGAATCAGGAATGTATGCCTTATGACCGAAGAGGAGTTCATAGGGAGTAAAGTTTGTGGATGCGTGGACAGACGTGTTATATGATAACATTGCAGTAAAAACATATTTATGCCAATTTGTGTGATTCTCGTTAACATAGGATTTCAAATACTCTTTGAGCGTCGAGTGGCTTCTTTCTAGAGCACCTTGAGTCTGTGGGTGATAAGGTGAGGACCAAATTTGTTTTATTTTAAGGAATTCGCATGTTTTCTTAAATAATTCTGCAGTGAAGTTGGTGCCTTGGTCCGTCAAAATCATCCTAGGTATTCCGAATAGTGATATAAAATGAACAAGGCATTCGAATGTGTCTTCGGAAGTGGCGTTGGCAATGGGATACGCAAAGGAGAATTTAGTAAGGTCGTCTTGCATGGTAAGGATGTATTTAAGAGATTGAAGACCTGCCTCGGGCAGAGGACCGACTAGATCCATACCAATACGCTCAAAAGGTTTTGTAGAGGTAGTCGTTATTTGCATGGGTGCGCGATTCGTCTGTCTAAGGGCTTTATTACTTTGGCACAATGAACAATTCTTTATATAGGTTTCCACATCTGAACGCATGTTTTTCCAATAGTATTTCTCTTTTATTCTATTTAGCATGCGTGCGGTTCCGAGATGACCTGCTATAGGTATGTCATGGTTGTCGTGTAATATTTTACGTATTTCTGAAAGTGAAGGATATATGAGGCGGTCGTGGTATATCTTAATTTCTATGTTGGTATTTGTGAAAATATAAGAGAACATATTGTAAATTCTGGACCAGGTGTGTTTATCAAAGCTATTACGAAAGTCAGTATAGGCTACTTGAGTTTCGTGTTCTGTGGAAGATGTGGTTGAAAGGAGTAGTATAGACTTAGTATAAAGAAGGCTTTTGAAAATTTCCTCGTAAGTACAGCTATCAAAATGATAGACTTTGGTGAAAAGAAAGTAGATATTTTTCCCGTTAAGTTCAAAGGAAAGACAAGTGTATAGTGTTCTTTCTTTTTGTAAGATTTCAGATGGATCTTGAATTTCACTTAAGATTTGTTCTACGTATGGATTTGATTCGTCGAGGTCTATTGAGGTGGGTATAAATATATGTTTACTACTAGTTTTGAGGATATTGTCATTGTATTCCTGTATTCTAGCATTACTATTAAAAGATTTATTGGATATTGCTTTCAGAAAGCTAGAATAGCTCTCATTAGTGGGAACAGGTGACGCAGGAATGGGTAAGGATGGATTTGTAATTTCTTCGGGATTCTGAGTAATTTGTGGATTTAAAGGATCATTAATTCGAGGTGAATGTTTTTTATCCTCGGGGTTCAAGAGGTCTGTTAAAAGGTCCTCATTATCAAGGAGGTCTACGGATGGTAAGCTGTCAGAGTCAATAGGAATTAGGGGTATTTCACCGAGATCTTCAAGGGTTATTGGACTGAAAGGCTGACTTTGCCTGGAAGTAGAAGGAATGGGATGATCAAAAGGATTTTGTATCGGATTTACCGGGAATCGAGAGAGTGCGTCGGCATTGCTATTTATCTTACCCTTCTTATACTCAATTTTATAATCAAATTCCTCTAACCTTAGTCGCCACCTAACTAACCGGGAGCCAGGGTCTTTGCAGTTAAAAAGCCATTTTAGGGGCCTATGGTCAGTGACGATGGTAAATTTGTGTCCGTAGAGATATGGTCTAAAAGTCTTTGTTCCAAACACGATAGCGAGACATTCCTTTTCTGTTGTCGAGTAATTAACTTCTGCTTTGTTCAGTGTTCTTGAAGAAAAGGCAATGGGTTGATCTTTACCTATCTCGCCCTGGGATAGTATCGCAGATATAGCATAATTGGACGCGTCGCATGTTAGCACAAAAGGATTCGTGAAATCTGGGTAAATGAGGATAGGAGCGGAAATTAATTTATTTTTTAAATCGTCAAAGGCTGCTTGTTGTTCTATTGACCAATTGAACAAAACATCTTTTTTAAGCAGAGTGGTTAACGGTTTAGCAGTTTTTGAGAAGTCTGGAATGAATCGGCGATAATATGACACAAGTCCTAGAAATGACTTCACATCTTTAGGACACTTTGGTACTGGGAATTTGGAAACGGCTTTAACCTTTTCAGGGTTAGGACTAACCCCGTTTTCGCTGATTACATGGCCCAAATATCCGACCTCTCTACGTAGAAATTCGCACTTGTCTGGTTGTAACTTTAAATTATGTTGACGTAATTTACTAAAAATCTTACAAAGCTTGTCACAATGGGAATTTAGGTCATGGGAATAGATGACTATATCGTCTAAGTAGACGTAACAATGTATACCCTGTAATCCTGCTAGCGCAGTATTCATAAGCCGTTGGAAGGTTGCAGGGGCATTCTTTAGCCCAAATGGCATACGTTTAAATTCGAAATGTCCTTGAGGGACAGTGAAAGCTGTTTTAGGGGTATCTTTTTCTGAAATGGATATCTGGTGAAAACCAGAACAAAGATCAAGTGTAGTGAAATATTTACTCTGTCCTAGTTGGTCTAAAATCTCGTTAATCTGTGGAATTGGGTAACTTTCACCTACGGTTATGTCATTGAGTTTTCGATAGTCTATCACGATGCGCCATTTGGTCTCCCCTGAAGAGTCTAATTTCTTAGGTACAATCCAAATTGGGAATGACCAGGGTGAAGTTGAAGGTTTAATGATATCTTGTGAGAGCATTTTAGAAATCTGTTTGTCTACTTCTTTTTTATGAATCTCAGGGAAACGGTAAGATTTCACATTAATTGGCTCAGCGGGATGTGTATTTATTTCATGTTTAAGAAGGTCAGTAGTAGTCAGTTTGTCACCTGGTAAATAAAAAATGTCAAAATATTGCGAACAAATATCGGTTAAGGAGTTTTTCTCTTCATCATTTAAGTGATCAGTTCTTAATAGATTTAGTACTTCTTCCCTACGAGAAATTGTCGATTTAGCAGAGGTGATATCAGGGTCTACTTGGAAGGAATTGACATGGAGGGGTTGTATTCTAACTTTAATATCAGAATCTAAAGTTATTAGTTCCTCCGATGTATTTACTACGGATATATTCACTCGATTATTATTCTTTACAGAAACTATGCAATTGGCTATTAAGAGTGAGTCTGAAAGGTGTTGATCTAAGATTAATCCAACTTTCTGTTCTGGGTTGGAGACAGTGCATTCGATTATCGTCTCACTACGGGGAAATATCTTATACACAGGGCGACTATAATCAATTTTGATAGTGAAGTTCCGGATCTTTAGGACATCGGAATTGTAATCTATAATGCCATCTAAATCATTGAGAAAATCGGTACCTATTATCCCGTCATAACCTAAATCTATTTTCTCTACAACGTGAAATCGATAAGCGAGATCTGTGTCAATGCCTACAAATAATTGAAGTTGAAAATGACCTAAAGTAGGTACGGTTTCGTTATTGGAATTTATTCCCTTGAGTTGGATTATATCATCTACGAGATTTGGCATAGACGTGATCGAGGTTTTCTTTATCAAACTTACGCAGGAACCTGTATCAACAAGAAATATAAGCGGTTGTTGATTGACTTGGGTATTGAGACTAACATGAGGTAAGTATCTTTTCTGTGAATTTGTTGTTACTTCGTAGACTGGATAATTTCTTTCTGTTCTAAATGACTCGTCTTTTGTAGGTATTATTGGAGTAGGACAAGGACTCGGAGTATGTTTCTTATTTTGGAGTTGGCTAACAGATTTTGCACATGAAGATTTAGTAGGTTTCGAAACATTAGTGTCAAATGTAACATGTTTAGTAAGTAGGCTGGACGTGGAGGACACAAAAGGATTGTTTATTTTTTGCTTTGTAGTAGAACCTTTACAAGTTCGAGATTCATTAGACACGGTGGGGGAATTCGATGCAGAGGATACGGAGGATACAGTGGATACAGTGGGTTTTTTACTCAGAAACGATTCAGTGATTCCCTTTCTGCGAGGGGATACAGAGGATTCAGTGGATACAGTGGGTTTATTATTAATAAACGATTCAGTGGTTCCCTTTTTGCGAGGGGATACAGAGGATACAGTGGATACAGTGGGTTTATTATTAATAAACGATTCAGTGGTTCCCTTTTTGCGAGGGGATACGGAGGATGCAACTTGTGCATAGGACTTGGCTCTAGATACAGTGGAAACAGAGGAATGGTGGGTGCCATAATTATGCCAAGACCGATTTTGATTTAAGACTTTGGGTCTCACAGGGCACCGCTGTGAGTCCCTTATTCGTTTAAATGATCATCCGTCTCGTCTTGTCCGCGTTCATCATCTGCTAGGTGATGAACCCTGTTCTGATGAGGAAATTTCGTTGTACGACTTGTAGCGGGGCGTTGGAAGTTGTTGTTGCTGTTATTGGCGTCGCTAGCACGGTTGAAGCTACTACGATTGCGATTATTATTATACTCACGTTTTCTACAATTTTCGATTACGTGTCCCGGGAACTTACAGTATCGACATATGGGAGCCGGTTGCTTATTTAAATTATGTACAGGGCGTCCGTCACGCATAGGATAGGATTTGAGATTTTGTTTATAGTTCTGAGACGCTTTAGTTTCTAAAAGCATTTGCATTTTTTCCTCTAAAATAGCTTGATTAGTGGCCTCATTGAGGCTCTGTGGGTTTTTCATTCTAACAAAATTAGAGATTTTAGGGGTAAGGCCCATTATAAAACAATGTAACGCCAATTCTTCCATAGCGGATATCTTACCAGACAGTTCGACCTTTTTCTTATTAGATAGTGAGATCTCGGTTAGTAATTTATAAAGGCTAGATTCCACTCTCAAGGAGTATTGGCTAACCGATTCGTTAGAGAGCTGTTGGCTCTCTTGTAGGTCTAACAATAAATGTGCATAATGCTTGCGCTCTCCAAATTGGGATTGTAAAAATTGGCTCAGCTGTTCCCAGCTTTCAAAGTCTTTAATGGACGCAGCGGTTTCGGCTTTGTTTTCGAGTTGGCATAGTATGTAATTTAGCAAAAGGGGCTTTTGACTTTGAGAGGCTAATTTAAAAGCATTATCGCAATTATTTATGAATGAACATAACTTATCACGAGATCCGTCAAAAGGTTTTATGAACTTTAACAACACACTTGTCTCTAATTTTTCGGACATACTGCTCTCAGACCTTAATTCGACATCCTTCTTTGTGGACATTTTAACCAAATTTAGAATTTATATGAGAAATATATGCGTAAATGGGATGCGCTAAGATAAGTAGCAATATTTAGAAATATTAATTCGTCGAATTAGAGTCTGTTGTTATGGTGTAACTAATACAGTTTTATCTTATTATAAACAATGGCGAGACTGGTGCTTCCTCTCGACGCGACGCGAGACAGATAACGCTGGATAATATAGTTATTAAAATTAAATCACTTACAGGTTCAGGAACATAATAATATAATATGCAATATGCATAATTGGCAATTAGCCGATTTTACTGCACTTAAAACACTTTCGTTTTTTTTTTTTCACTTCTGGGTATAGCACTATTTTTCACTTTAAACTTTGCACTTTCGAATTTAGTTTCTTTTTTCGGAACTGGACTTTTCCGCGGAGGGTACACGAGATTTATTAAAAATCCCTTTTCGCTGCCACCAATTGTTACACAGAACAATAATAAGATCTTTTTAAAAAAAAAGATTTAATGAATTCAATTACAAATATATTGATTTAGAAATACAAAGGAAGTAGTATTAAAAATTAGCACGTCTGATCGGACAGGAGCTAGGAGATCGACTGAATGGATGGGAAATGAGAGGTTGTTTGTGCATGGGAAGAAATGATGACGAGGATAGGGCTTAGGGTATGTCAGCAATATAGGATGCAATGGGGAGTTGTAACAGTGCGTCCGAAGATTGGATTTCGTCACACCGAAGTGGATTGGAACAATAAATTTTAGTTTTAATTATTTAGAATTAAGATTTTAGAATTAGGATTGTATTTGTGTGTGTGGTGTATTGTACTCAGTTCTTTATTCATTTATATATTTATTTATTTATATATTTATTGGGTAGGGGGTTGAGTCGTCGACTCTAATGTTAGTTGGGGGTAGGATCTAGTAGCACCTTAATATGAGGCGAGCTAAAGGGTTGGTGTTTTCGTCGTCCTCGGATAGCGACGACGATGTGGGTATCGTGGAGTGCTCCGGTGAGAGGAAGCGGGCGCATACTAAAAGCCCGGTTGGCAACAACAAGGAAACTTGCTCTCCACCGGCCAAGGGTAAGCCGAAAAAGGCGGCTTCTCATGTGGTAGGGTTGGAGGAGGCGGAGGGAGAGTTGCGGCGTCAGAACGCTTGCTCTCGCCTTGCAGAGAGGTTAGAAGGTGCGGGAATCTCTCCGATTATGGGGCTCCCACCTGTGTGGATATCAGGATTGTGAGGTCATCCGGGGAGGAGGAGTTGGACGATGTTATTCTCCTTGGCATTCCTGAGATAAAGGAGCGGACGGCTGTGCGGGTTCGTCGCATTTTTGAAATTGCGGCGAAGTCGGGCAACCTCAAGGGTGAGTTCGTCCGCGACCTAAAGGTTGCGGCCAAGGAGGTGAATGAGATCGTGGAGGATCTCGCGGAGAGATGCCTGGGAGGGGATGAGGGGAGGCGTCTCCTAAGGGACAATGTTCGCCTGAGGGCCCAGGTAAAAGACCTTGGTCTGGAGCTTGCGGCCCTTAGGAGGGAGTTCAATGAGCGCACTGCGCACTTAGCGCAGACAAAGGGACACCCCGTGTCGGTGGAGGGTCCCTCCACTCCAGATGCCCTCCGTCAAATGATGGAGGGGCTGTTGGATGGGGTGAAGGAGAGCCTAATGGGGAGGTGATGCGGGCTGTTGGGGGCATGCTAGATGCCAAGCTTGCGGGGATTGGGGACAGGCTCCTCCCTGAGCCTGTGCTGCGTCCTCCGCTGGCGGCATCGGCCCGTGGTCCGGGAGCCCCTGAGCGTTTTGTGGAGAGGGGGGGCCGGTGGCCCCGAATTTCGCAGGGCCCCTGGGCTCAAGCACCCGTGAGGGTTCGTTGGGGGGTCGGGGCACGGTGGCTCCGAATGTGGTGGGGACCCAGGGTCCCGAAGATTTAGAGGGGAGCAGAGTCCCGGAGGCCCCAGGTCTTTCGGGGCCCCGGGTCTCTGGGGGTCCCTAGTGACGGAAGCTGGGCGACCGTCAGCAAAAAAGAAGGGTAAGGGAAAGAAGGGTGGTTCTCCCGCTGTGCCGGTCCTTCCCCCTGTGAGTGGGGGAAGTGGCCGTGTTGGCCGGTCAGAGGACCATGGAGTGAGTCGCGGCGCAGGGCCCTCGGCTGGGCGAGTGGCAGTTATAGAGAGGTCTGTCAGGGTGCAGCCTTCGCTCACTCCGCCGAAAACTTCCGCAGTGGTCATCACATTGCGGAGGGAGGCGGTGGAGCGGGGGGTGACGTATGCCGATGTGCTACTCAAGGCAAGAAATGGTATAAACCTGGCTGAGATTGGTATTGCAACTATCAGCATCCGGCTAACGGCAACGGGAGCTCGGATGCTGGAGGTGCCGGGGGTTGACAGAGAGGAGAAGGCTGATGCCCTGGCGGACAGGCTTCGTGTGGTGCTGTCGGGGGAGGCCTTGGTGGGGAGGCCCGTCAAATGTGCGGACCTCCTTATTCGGGACCTTGACGACAGCGTCACTGAGAGGGATGTGACGGAGGCGGTGGCTGCCATGGGTGGGTGCCCGGCTGAAGCGATCAAGCCGGGTAAGATTTTGAGGCGTGGGATACGGGGCTTGGGGAGATGTTCCTCATGTGTCCGGTCGCCGCCGCCCAGAAAGTGTGCCAAGGAAAGCTCCTCATTGGGTGGAGCTCCTGTCGGGTTGAAATCCGAGAGGACCGCCCTTTGAGGTGCTACAAGTGCCAGAAGTTGGGTCACGTGCGAGCCACTTGTGACTCAACGATGGACTTGGCGGAGGTGTGCTATCGATGTGGGGTTGCTGGCCACAAGGCCAATGAATGCAGCTCGAAAGAGCTGCATTGCGCGGTCTGCTCAACGGCTGGGAAGCCAGCAGACCATAAGATGGCGGGAAGGGCCTGCAACCCTCCGAAGGTGACGAAGGGCCTGGGAGCCCAAAGGACTGGGACAACTGTGGGGAACGCTCCCATGGAGGTTGGTGTGGCACAACCATCATAGCTGCACCAGCCTGTTGGGGGGGGATCTGGAGACGCTGTGCCGCGATTCAGGGGTGGTGACTGCACACCCTGGCCGAATGTGCCACTTGGTTGAGGCAACACTGTCTCGACCTGGTGTCGGTCGTTTGGACGGACCTCTCGCTGCCGAGTGTTGTTGCAGCAATACTAGGTAGCCATGAGGCATGGCGATCGGTTCTTCCGGTTTGCCGGTTCTTCTGGTTTCGCGGGGCCGGTTTACCGGTTTTCCGGTTTACCGGTTTTCTGGTTTCGTGGGGCCGGTTTTCCGGTTTTACCGGTTTTTCGGTTTACCGGTTTTCTGGTTTCATGGGGCCGGGTTTCCGGTTTACCGGTTTTCCGGTTTACCGGTTTTTCGGTTTCGTGGGGCCGGTTTGCCGGTTTTCCGGCTGTCGATCGTCAGCGGGAGGTGCGTTGAATCGACCGGAGGGGTTGTGCTTGGCGACGGCAAGGTGAAGGGTGGGCAGGCGCAGGGTGGGCCCAATATACGCATAGTTGCGTGGGTCCAACTGCGTCCCACTGCGTCGTCGCCAGGCCCTTATGCGGACATACCCGCCTGAGCTTTCTGGGTTGAATGCCTAGTGCGACCCCCGGGGAGCTCAATGCGGTGCCGGACGGCATTCATTCAGAATGGGTGTAGTCTGGTACCGCAGGCGGTATGGAGGGTTCAGGAGGAATTTTTAGTGGGTCCGGCTTCTCCCCTCTGATTAGCAGAGGGACTTTGAGAACGCCATCCCCACAGTCCCCGCGGTAGCGACTGCATACGCCCGCGGGCCTGCATTTGTGCATTTTAACCTCCTTCATAAAAAAAAAAAAAAAAAAAAAAAAAAAAAGGTTAGGTTAGGTTAGGTTAGGTTAGGTTAGGTTAGGTTAGGTTAGGTTAGGTTAGGTTAGGTTAGGTTAGGTTTTAGGTTTTTTTTTTTTTTTTTTTTTTTTTTTTAATTGCTAGTGGGCCTACCACCCCCGGCGACTTACGCCCCGGGGCCGAGGAAGCTAAGCTAAGGTACAGCTCGAAGTCTTTATTAAAGTAAAACAGATATATACAGTGGTTGTGGATTAGGTGGTTGAGGGTTGGTTTTGCTATTTGATACAATTCTTTTCCCTCAACCACCTGAACAGAGTCCACGTCTTAAAACTAGTAATTATATAAAAAATGAAAGTGAAATATTAACGGGTTATTTTGTGCTTAAATAAGTAGGTTGATAATATACAATTTTTTAACACAAAGTAGTATATAAAAGTGGTTATATAGTTATTAAAGTAACAGTTATGTTTATTATTATATAGGTATTAGGAATTAGACGCGGGTAGGTTGTTGAGGGTCGGTTCTGCTATTAGATACAATAACCTTCCCTCAGCCGCCCAATTTAAGTCCGCTTCCTAATACGTACATTAAACACAACGCAAACAGAATTTAGAGCTAAAGTAAAATAAAAATGTAAAAATACACACTGGAATGAATAAAACAGTTGTTATAAAATTAAGTTTAAACAGATTGGCTTTAATAATGAGCCTGTAAATGACTAAGCTGGTGTTTGGAGTTGGACACGGGTAGGTTGTTGAGGGTCGGTTCTGCTATTAGATACAAAAACCTTCCCTCAGCCGCCCAATTTAAGTCCGCTTCCTACCACCAACATTAAACATGACACAAACAAAATTTAGAATTAAAGTACAATAAAGGTGTAAAAATATTCAATGCAATGGAATAAAACAGTTGTTATAAAATTAAGTTTAAACAGATAGGCTTTAATAATGTGCCTGTAAATGACTATGCTGGTGTTTGGAGTTGGACACGGGTAGGTTATTGAGGGTCGGTTCTGCTATTAGATACAATAACCTTCCCTCAGCCGCCCAATTTAAGTCCGCTTCCTAACACCAACACTAAACATTACACAAGGAAAAATTTAAATTTGCAGTAAAAATAAAAATACACAACAGAATGGAATTAAATCATTTGATATAGAACCAAATTTAAACAAGTGAACATAGGGAAGTTTTATATTTGCTTAGAGTTATATTAAAATAAATTTACCCAGTGAGATGGGATTCAACTTATGATATAAAAAAATTTAAAATGGAATTAATATTATAATTTATGTTTAGTACAGATGGTATTTGCACAGCAAGGTATGATTTAAATAAAAGAATAATCGTAAGAAAATAAATCTAGGTTAAATATTTAAGTAGTTAGTATAATAATTGTAAACATTGTAAAAGGTTATAGATGGAGAGAAATGACTATATACATTTTTGTACGGGTGAGGGCGGATTACTTGCCGATTAATTGTTAAATATGAGTGAAAAATATAAGAAATATTAATTTTGAAGGCTTTGATAGTGCACACGAGGTTTGGGAAGGGTTGTGTTTAATAAAGGGTAGGGATTGTGGTTGTTTTCGTGTTTTAGTGTAGGTAACCTAGAGGAGGTGCAACGTGTAAAGGTCGTTGAAACTTTTGTCGTTTTCGATTTTAAAGGAGGTTTTGTATAGGTAGACAAATGCTCCAGTGCGAGTGCTGCGCGTTGAGGTCGTGATTAATGTGAGTGTTTAATTCAGTGTGTAATTGTGTAGTTTAATATGAAGTTAGTGTTTTGTGCATGTTTTAAATGTAGTTAATTTTTGCCTCAACGCGGGCACGCATGGCTGTAACTTTGGGGCATTTGTCTGAGTCGGCGCGGTGTAGAGTGCCGGTGTTGGTGTTGAATTGTTTATTGTGTTCGGCGCAATTGGTGCAGTTGTGTACTTCGGCCTTGCACTCCGCTGTAGGGTGGTGAGCGGAGCACTTGGCGCATGTGGGTGTGGTGTTGGGGCAGCGGCTCTTGGTGTGTCCGAAGTTTAGGCAGTTTTGGCACTGCCTAAACGGTGAAAAGTTGTCGCTGTGGACCCGCTGCATCCCTATGTTAACTCTGCCTAGGTCGGCAAACGCCTTCCAGGCAGAGGGTGTGGTGTTTAGCACTGCGTTATATAGTGAAGTGTTCCTGTTGTTAGCTATGAATTTGACGGTAAATGTATGTTTAGTTAAGGTGGTGTTTTGGTCTTTAATTGTTTTTGTGAGTTCAAATTCAGGTATGTTTTTTGAAATCCCTTTAAGAATAATCATTGGGTCTATGCGTTTTTCCTCTTGAGTGTTTATTTTTGTGTTATTTTGTAGTCGTGAAATTGTGTGTTGTTTGTGCTCTTCTCGTTCAAAAACGAGTTTGATCTTTTGTTTTGATAGTGGGGTGACCCTTAAAGGGGCGTATCCGCCCTCTCTGAAATTAACGGTTCTACTGATTTGAGTAAGTATCTGTTCTGTTGTGTCTAGACCCTCTCCGGACACGATGATGGAAGGCCCTGCAGGGGGTTTGGGGGTGGCGGCGGCCTTAGCGTAAGATTTATAAGTCTTATGCGGGTCCGCCGACACTGGTTGTATCTCCGGCGGCGCGGGTTTAGGGGATGCCTTAAGAACCCTGGTGTGTTCCTGCAAGGCCTTATTCGATTCATCGAGTAGCCGAGAGTGGGCCTCGAGTTTCTGTAGTAATTGTGTGGTGTGTATGTGTGTATCGGTTGGCGGTGTAGTCGTTGAGGGTGTAATCGTGGCTTTGGTAGCCTGTGGTGTGTGCGGTGCGGGGGCAGGAGGGTTGGGAGGGGTGGTAGGTGAGGGGTCAATGAGGCCGACGACCCCGAAGAGGCCTTCGATTGCCTCTGTGATAGCAGTTTTTAGCTCCCCTTTTAAATTGCGGGAGGCAGCGAGAGCTTGTAGGCCCGTCTGCCTGTATTCTTTGGCCATCTCCATATGAGCCGACTCTGTTGGGCGTTTTACGCGAGTGAAGGCCGGGCTCAACATCTCTACTAAGGTCCGTCTAGCTGGTGTTGCGGACGTAGAGGGAGTAGGGGCTTTGTTTGTTGGTTTGGGTGGAGTTCGGGGTAACATTTTGCTGGTGGAGGGTGAGGGGGGTAAGGGGGAGCTGAAATGTGGACAGGTGTATTCACCTCTTCGAGCTGAGTTGTTTGATACCCAACTCGAGGGGGTAGGGGTGAGGGGGGAGATTTTGTAGCAACGGGGGGGAAAAACCTGTTTTGTGGGGTGGAGGGGGGTTTGCGAAAGGAACAATGTACACTATCAAATAGAACTCGCCGAGCCGGTTTAAATAAGCCCAAGCTCGACGGGTTTGGGATAAAATTTAAAAATATTAAAAAATTTATAAATATGGGGCTGGTAATCCACCCTACCTGATGTTTAAGAACAGGATTGCTCAGCAGCTGTTGCTCGTAGGGTAGAGGTGTTTGTTATTTTCTGGTTGCCCTCGGAGAGGACAAGCCGCTGGTTATGGTGCTGGAGCTGTTCCAGCTGGTCACCAGACAATCTGGTGTCCAGTTGGGTGGTTGGTAGAGTTTACTATCTTGAGAATAAGTGGTAAGGTGAAGTCAATTGCTGGCTATTTAACTGTAGTAGACTTGGATTTTTAGCTGGTGTGGTTCCTGTGGAAACCCTGGTCCTAAAGTTGTTTTGGGTCGTATCCTCTGAAGTATACGTCGGATCAATATGTTCTTGGTGTCAGCAGTTGCGCGGTGACGAGCTAGATCTGGCCGTTTTAAGTTCTTAGTGGTGGTGTAATGTCTGAGGGTGGTTCGCCCCCAAAAACTGTTTTCTTGGGGTTTGAGGGGATATTCCTCCTCCGATTTGGACGTCCGATATGTCTTTAGTTGCCTTTCCGTCTAGCGCTTCTAATGAATATAAAATATGGTTCCTATCTCTTAGGGCTGCAGGCTGGGCGATAAAACCCCTGGTTTGGTCTCTAATAAATCAGCCCTAATTCCAAAAATTATAAATTGGATATCAAACGATAGCCCTTGACGAGGACAATCTTTTTAAGCTATAAAAATATGTAGTTATCGATCCAAATTAAAAGTTATTCACCTTTTAAGGGTTTTTGCTCCAGATGGTTAGGTTAGGTTAGGTTAGGTTAGGTTAGGTTAGGTTAGGTTGGGTTAGGTTAGGTTAGGTTAGGTTAGGTTAGGTTAGGTTAGGTTAGGTTAGGTTAGGTTAGGTTAGGTTAGGTTAGGTTAGGTTAGGTTAGGTTAGGTTAGGTTAGGTTAGGTTAGGTTAGGTTAGGTTAGGTTAGGTTAGGTTAGGTTAGGTTAGGTTAGGTTAGGTTAGGTTAGGTTAGGTTAGGTTAGGTTAGGTTAGGTTAGGTTAGGTTAGGTTAGGTTAGGTTAGGTTAGGTTAGGTTAGGTTAGGTTAGGTTAGGTTAGGTTAGGTTAGGTTAGGTTAGGTTAGGTTAGGTTAGGTTAGGTTAGGTTAGGTTAGGTTAGGTTAGGTTAGGTTAGGTTAGGTTAGGTTAGGTTGGGTTAGGTTAGGTTGGGTTAGGTTAGGTTAGGTTAGGTTAGGTTAGGTTAGGTTAGGTTAGGTTAGGTTAGGTTAGGTTGGGTTAGGTTAGGTTAGGTTAGGTTAGGTTAGGTTAGGTTAGGTTAGGTTAGGTTAGGTTAGGTTAGGTTAGGTTAGGTTAGGTTAGGTTAGGTTAGGTTAGGTTAGGTTAGGTTAGGTTAGGTTAGGTTAGGTTAGGTTAGGTTAGGTTAGGTTAGGTTAGGTTAGGTTAGGTTAGGTTAGGTTTTTTTTTTTTTTTTTTTTTTTTTGTTGCCCCTGCCTACTTGGCCTACCTCCCCGGCAGCGACTGCTCCGGGGCCGTGGAGCTGCGAACCCACCCCTCGACATTTGCCTATCAAGGACCTTTTTAGCTTTATTTATTCATCAAAAAATTACATTCATTTACATTTGTTATTCTTACATATTATTCATTTTACATTTTGTTTCTTACATGGTTGTCTTGTACATTATGTTTACTTAACATTTATTTTACTTAGTTTACTTTATTTTAATTCTTAAATTTCTAATTCACTTATTCATAGATTTACAATCGTTCTATGGTTACATATTAATTAGTCTAACATGTTTTTCATTTTACATATTGTTTATTGCATATTAGTCTTGTACATTGTTCTTACTCAACATTTATACATCTTAGCTTATTCTATTTTAATTCTTAAATTTACAATTCACTTGTTGATAGATTTACATTCATTTTAAGGTTTACATATTAGTTATCTTAACATGTTTTCCATTTTTCATTTTGTTTCTTACATATTAGTTCTATACATTATTTTATTTAACATATAATTACTGGTTTACATTATTTTAATTCTTAAGTTTCTAATTGCTTTTTCATAGATTTATACGTTCTATGGGTTACATATTAATTATTCTAACATGTTATTCATTTTACATTTTGTTTCTTGCGTATTACTCTTATACATAATTTTACTCAACATTTACTTCTTAGTCTACTTTATTTTAATTCTTAAGTTTCTAGTTTGCTTATTCATAGATTTACATTCATTCTATGGTTTACATAATAGTTATTTTAACATGTTTTTTATTTTACATTTTGTCTCTTACATGTTAGTTTTGAACATTATTTTTCTTAACATTTATACTTGTTAGTTTACTTTATTTTATTTATTAGTTTTTAATTCTCTTATATTGCGTTTTTGATTTACTTCACATGAAACTATTCATTAGTGATTTTATACATTACTTACTTAGAGCTTTGCGTTTATTGGTTTACTTTATTTTAATTCTTACTTTTTCTAACACATATTCATGTTTTTATTTTTAATTTATGTATATGCTAATAGTTTGTGCACATTATAATTTTTCGTTTATTTCAGAGTTTACTTTTGATAATACTTCTGTTTAATTACAGTTTTATATTTTGGTTATTTTGTATTAATTACATATTTTGGGTACAGTGTTTTTAGATTTTTGTTGTATCCTTACTATTATTTTGTTTGTCAATAGTTTGAGCGCCATTAAATCGTCTTGTCCGTTCCAGAATCCGCTCACAAAAATTTTCCAAGGCCAATCTGTGCCCCGCAAGGATGTCGGGCAGCACATTACGCGCTATCCGCATTCCCGCGGTCTGCTCCAGATTGTGTCTTTGTATGGTGAATATGGGGCACTCTGTTAGGAGATGCTCCACCGTTTGTAACGCATTTTCGTCGCATTCACATGCGGGACTTGGTTTTATTTTAAAACGGTGGAGGTATTCCGCGAAGGCTCCATGCCCTGTTAATATTTGAGTCATTATAGGATTAAATCCTTTGGATCTTACAGTTCTGTACGCGGTCTCCGGGTCGGGCAAGAACATCCTAGTTGTCGCCCCGGTTGTTTCATTGGACTGTTTCGTGACCCATTTTTGCACCGTGTTTTCGCGTATTAACTTTTTAACGTATGATATCGGGCAGCGGTCGTAGACCGGTTTCTGCTTTGCGCCTGTGGCTTCTTTGGCCAACTGGTCCGCTCTTTCGTTCCCCCTCCTCCCCGCGTGTGCTTTAACCCAGAAAAGTTTGATGTTCTTTTCTGAGTGTTGGATAAGAAGTTCGCGAATCTCGGTGACAAGGGGATCGAAAGAGCGTCCCCCCACAACCGCATCCAACGCAGACCTTGAGTCACTGTAAATGAGGACCTCAGTTTCCTTCCGCTGCACCGCTAGTTGCGCCGCTCTTTTTAACGCCATCAGCTCTGCTTGGTACACAGTGCAAAAATGTGCCAGATGCAGCTTTTGGCTCTTTATTTCAATGTCTCCTTTCCAAAGGGAGATCGCAGCACCCACCCCTTCTTCCGTCTTGCTACCATCCGTATATATTTGTAGACTACTACCGTTTATTGTAAGTTCTTCATTGGACAGGATAACATATTCCAATGCTGCCGTTGCCGGATGGGAAGTTTTGCAGAAAGGTGTTTTTATTTCCACCTCGGCTCCTTTCAGGTGCTCGCAGGCCGTGTACCCCTTTTTAATTTCATATAAGGTTTTGTTTTCGTGTGCTCTTAGGTCTAGTGGGAGCAAACCTGACAGCACTCTGAGGGAGCTGAGTGGAGTTGTTCTGTATGCCCTACATATTTTGATGGCAAAGCTTCTCTGTACCGTATCTAGTTTTTTAATAATGTATGCCTTATTCGCCGCGTCTGCCCATGCATTAGCCGCGTAGAGGACAATGGGCTCGACTACAGCCGTATATATTATTTTAATAATTTCCGGACTGAGTCCCCAGCTCACCCTAGCTGCCTTGGATACCTGTTTGTAGAGGCCGATGGCTTTATTGCAAGCTGCGTTAATATGATCGCTAAAGGTGATCTTATGGTCTATTGTCAAGCCCAATATCTTCACGCTGTTCGACATATGTATTGGTGTGCCGCCCATGTTGAGTCGTGGTGTGTCATATTTAAGTTTATTTGTCATGAGCATCGCCTTGGTTTTTGCGGGGGCGAATCTTAATTTGTTTTTGTGTCCCCACTCGCAAATCTGCGTGAGTGCATCGTTTGCTAATTTTTCTGTTTCTAGCGCCGTGTTGGACTCGAACAGGAGGACCACGTCGTCCGCGAAGGCCTGCGCATACACTCCGGCTCTCTCTAATGTTTGTAGCAGTGGGTCCAACAGCAGATTCCACAGGGTGGGTCCGCTGATGGATCCTTGTACGCAGCCTTTGTTTGTTGGTCTGGCCGCTACGGCTCCTCCGTAGACGACGCGGACCTCCCTGTCGCCGAGATAGTTGCGTACTAGTAGTGCCAGGTTTGGTGGACAACGCTCTTCAGTAAGTCTCACACAAATGGCCGGCCACCAGGCGTTATCAAAGGCACCCTCTATGTCCAGTGATATTAGTGTTATTAATTTTTTATTACTTAGGCCTAACTTGATTTTTCTCATAAGGGTATAGAGGGCGTCTTCTGTACCACGCTGTGGCATGAATCCATATTGCTTGAGGGAGAGACGGGGGATCAGGTGCCAGTTGAGTCTTTTTACCATCATTTTTTCCATTATTTTGCCCAGTACTGGTAAAAGTCCGATTGGTCGGTATGATTTAGGTTGATTATAGTCATCTTTTCCTGGTTTTTTGAGGACAATTACTGTGGCCTTTTTCCAGATACTGGGAAAGTATCCCAGGTCGAGGCATCTATTCGCCAGTGCCAGGAAAACGTCTGGGTCCGCAAAAATTGCTTCGCCGCAGATGTCTGACGTTAATCCATCACCTCCAGGGGCCTTTTTGGGGTTAAAACTCCTGGCACACTCCGCTAGTTCTTTGGGCGTAAAAGGCGGGTCATGGTTGTTATCATGACTCGATTCTTCTATTGTTGCGGCTTTTATCCGCATTTCTGTGTGCCAGAGAGTCTCTCGTGCGCTCGTATCTTCCGGAAAAAAGGTTTCCGCCAGGTACTGCGCCGAGTCCTGGTAGGAGAGTGTCACACCGTCCTTAACAAGTTGTTGATCAATTTGTTTTACGTTCGTTTTCCTGATTACCCTGTAGATGCCATCCCACAGGCTTTCTCCATCTTGCTTTTCGCAGAAGCTCTTCCAACTTTCCAGTTTATTCTTGTTTACTGCTTCCAGGTATTCCTGCTTCGCCTTGCTGTATCGCTCTATAACAGTAGGTCGGCGGATAGCAGAGCAGTATCTGATTTTCCTCCTCATTTTTAGGACGCTTTTCTTCATTTGAACTAGCTCTTCTGTCCACCAGGGGGGTTGTGTGTTTCCTATGTACTTTAATTTTTGGAATGTGTGTGTCGCAAGTGTCTGTGATTAACTGTGTGTATTGTACTATAGTGTTTTCTAGAAGTGTAGTGGAGTTTAGGGTGTTGATGTTATGTGATGTGAGTTCGTGTTCAGAAAGCAACTGTTTGAATTTTGCACGAAAGTGGGTCCAATTTGCTTTCCGAACATTGTATACTCTAGTTGATCTCGCGTGTCCATCGTCCCTTTTGATCCGTGAGGTGATCTCAAACTGGATGGCATTGTGATCTGAACTGGTCACACTCTGGTCCACCCTCCAGTCTACAATGAGACCGAGGAGGTCAGGTGTGGCTACTGTGACGTCGACGCAGCTAGTGTATAATGTATTTCCTCTATTAGTGTTAAATGTTGGCGTCCCGCCCTGGTTTAATATTTCTAGTCCGGCGCTGTGGAAAGTCGCTTCTGCTTCTTCCCCCCTCTCATTCGTTATTCTGTCCCCCCACCAGACGTTTCTCGCGTTTATGTCACCTCCCACTATCGTTCTTGGACCTAGTTTTTCTATGGCTTGTTTTAATGTCTGGAGGTACGGACTTAGGGGGATCGGATACGGTTCGAAGTATATCGAGACTAGACTGAGCTTTCCTTTTTGTGTGTCTACTGATATGGCAATCATATTCGGGCTGGATATCTCGGGGTGTTGTATGATATGTATGTTATTGTCTAATACGACAATCGCCGCTTTGATATGATTGCCAGATCCAGTATGTTGATATACTCTAGTACCCGAGTAGTTCTTCATACTTCGAGCCGCTCCGATGTAAGGCTCTTGTACAAGCAAGATGGAGATGCGCTGTTTCTTGGCCTCGAAGATTAGCTCCTCCGTGGCAACTGCTGATCTTTGTACGTTCGCTTGCATTACTTTAATTTCGTTTGGGAGAACTTTAGCAGTATTGTACTGACCTCCTGGCCAGCACATCCCACTTCCTACGGACTGGGCATTCAGTGCTAAACGCACTGTGGTCTGCGTTATTAATTCCTTCTCTTATGCAGTTTGCGCATTCAGGTGTTTTTTCTTTATTTGGACAGTCAGCCCTTAGGTGTTCCCCTGTGCATTGGGAGCAGGTTAGTTTTTCAATTTGACAGTGCTTCCTTGTGTGTCCGTATCCGAGACACTTAGAGCACTGTACAAGGGGGACCGATCCTCTACCCAAACCCTCTGGAGGTCTATGTGTACCTTCTGCGCCCGTGTCAGCGCCTTCCACATCCCCGGAGAGACCTGCACGATGACATGGCACTCGTGCGTATTTCTAGCGTTTTGGCGGTGCTTTTCGGTCATCAGCCAGTCCTCCCCGGTTAGGTTTCCGGTCGTTGCCTTGTTTTGGGTTTTGAGGGCTTTCTTTATATCATCAATGGTGTTATACTTTAATAAGTCTTTAAATCTCACCAGAGGATTTTTGTTGTTGAGTTCCTTTACGGTAAGTCCATTATCTTCGTGTGTTATCCTTTCCCTCACCCTTTTCCGTTCTTCTTCAGTACCGCAGCCGATGACCACTTTCCCTCCCTTTATCTTTTGGAGCTTTTCGATTTTGAATCCGTGGTCTTTTGCCTTGAGAGAGCACCTAATTTTCTGGACTGTGTCCTCTGCCGCTTCGGTCTCCTCCCCGGGCTCGACAATCAGAGAATACAGTCCGGTCCGGTCCGGTCGGTCATTGATTGCGGTTCTGGCACAGTCATTCCTCGGCTCGGTCCTCGCAACTGCTGCTACTTCTGCATAGCTACGGATTTCCCCAGCTTTGCCATGATTCTGTCTTCACTTTCTGTGACCGTTTTCTCAAAGCTTTCCTGCCTTCTCGAGTTGTTTTCCATCAGTTCCTCCATCCTTCTGATTTTTTCCTCTAGCTTTTCTGTTTTGTCAGGTTTCGCTTCATTCGTGATTTCCTCTTTCCTATCTTTTCCATGGAGCTCTCCGTCTCGCACCAACTCATACAACCTTTTAACCGCGACCGTTACTGCGGTTTTTATATCACCCCTTAGATTCCTCGCAGCGTTAAGTTGTGCGAGCGCACTTTGTTGTAACGCCGCTGCCTCCGTTATACGGGATCTATATACTTTGTTTACTATTTTCCTACTCTCTTCTGTTTGTGATAAGATGGTCGCCTTTTCCCCCATACTTGTTTGCGCTTCGTTAACCGGGGTCAGGGTAGGCTCTCGTGCGGAGGGCAATTCTGCCTCGGTCTCTTTATCCGTCACGCTTGTGGATGGCGATGGCTTGTTTTTAGTTGGGGTTCTGAGGCCAAACATGTCTTCGTTTATGTGAATTTTATTTGTTTACAATTTAATTGAGAAGGTGCAATGTTACGGTTACAGGGATATTTACTAAGATAAAGATGTTATTAAACGGGTGAGATTTTATTTTTTTTTTTTTTTTTTTTTTTTTATTAGGTTTTTGTTAGGTTAGGTTAGGTTAGGTTAGGTTAGGTTAGGTTAAGGGCCTCATAGCCAAGCGGCTTTGTATGTGACCGTGGTGGGTGTGAGGTTCCGGGTTCGATTCCCGGTCCGAGTGTAAATTTATATTTATTCTCGGCCTTTGGTAGGGCTGTACGGTGCCGGGCGAGTGTTTAAACCGTACATAGTGGGCACAGTTGAGATTCTATAGTGTGCAGTGGGCACCCAACTATATCGATACTCCTGTGTGAGGATGGCAATTACAAGTGGTTAAGTAATTCAACATTCCTTTTAAAGGGCCTCATAGCCAAGCGGCTTTGTATGTGACCGTGGTGGGTGTGAGGTTCCGGGTTCGATTCCCGGTCCGAGTGTAAATTTATATTTATTCTCGGCCTTTGGTAGGGCTGTACGGTGCCGGGCGAGTGTTTAAACCGTACATAGTGGGCACAGTTGAGATTCTATAGTGTGCAGTGGGCACCCAACTATATCGATACTCCTGTGTGAGGATGGCAATTACAAAGTGGTTAAGTAATTGAACATTCCTTTTTAGTACGCGTCGAGCCGTCGTAGCGATCACTGTGTTTTTCGTTCGCTCCGCGTTTGAAAAATCTCATGGTGGGTTTTTAGTGGCGGAAAATCTTTTGAGTTGTGTTAAAGGATTCAGTAGTAATCACTGATTCTTTATATGTATGTGTGCACTTTGTATGTTAAGTACTTAATTAACTGCAAGGCACAAAAGTGAGTGGGAAATTGACCCGAAGTTAGTTTTTGTGGTATCTTTTTATGTGTCGCGACGACACATAAATTTTGTGTGTCTTAATTGTGAACTGGATTAAGGTGCAACTGTGAGTTGAATAATTTTTATTTTTGGTTGAGTAATTTGGCCATAATAATTTAAATAGCCGAAAAGTTATATTGCTGGATTGCCTTTTGGCTGGTGGTGCATTAGGGAAGAGACTAACACCATTGTTTCTGTCTTTTGAAGACGAACTCCCTGAGATTTTTCTCGTCGAGATTGGAGAAAAAAGGGGGATTTTACTTATAATAATTAAAAGTGAATTGTCGGGCCGCCATCTTGTTCACTAGTTGAGTGCCAAGGTCGGGCCAGGTGGTGAAGCATCGGTCCGCCATCTTGTTGTTGACAAGTTTGGTGGACAGCTGAAGATTGGACGTCTCTCACACCGAAGTGAGTGGGCGTCCGAAGATTGGACTTCGTCACACCGAAGCGGATTGAGACAATAAGTTTTAGTTTTAATTTTTCTATAATTAGAATTAAGATTGTATTTGTGTGGTGTATTATATTCAGTTCTTTATTCATTTATCTATTTATTTATTTATATATTTATTGGGTAGAGGGGTAGAGTCCTGGGTAGAGTCGGGGTAGAGTCATCGACTCTACCGTAGAGTTTGTGGTAGAGTCGAGGGTAGAGTCAGGGGGTAGAGTCGGGGGTAGAGTCAGGGGTAGAGTCGGGGGTAGAGTCGGGGGTAGAGTCGGGGGTAGAGTCGGGGGTAGAGTCGGGGGTAGAGTCATCGACTCTACCGTAGAGTTCATTGTTGGGTCGAAGATAGAGTCGACGATAGAATCGTAAAAAAGAGGTAGGATATAATAGCCCCTCGATATGAGGAAGGCTAAAGGGTTGGTGTATTCGTCGTCGGACAGTGACGACGATTTAATAGCTGAGACTTGTTCCGGCGATAGGAAAAGGGGGTATACTAAGAGCCCGGTTGGCGATGGAAAGGGGAACGCTTCTTCTCCTTCTTCTCCACCTGCCAAGGGTAAGCCACCGAAAAAGGCGGCTTCTCATATGGTAGGATTGGAGGAGGCGGAGGGAGAGTTGCGGCGTCTGAACGCCCGCTCTCGCCTTAAAGAGAGACTAGGAGTGAGTGCGGGGAATCTCTCAGATTGTGGGGCCCCCGCCAGTGTAGCGAGATCATCCGGGGAGGAAGAGCTGGACGATGCTGTCCTGCTTGCCATCCCCGAGATAAAGGAGCGGACGGCTATGCGGGTTCGTCGCATCATTGAAATTGCGGCGAAGTCGGGTAACCTCAAGGGTGTGTTTGTCCGCGACCTTAAGGTTGCAGCCAAGGAGGTGAGCGAGATCGTGGAGGATCTCGCCGACAGATGCCTCAGGGGGGATGAGGATGGGCGCCTCCAGAGAGACAACATTCGCCTGAGGGCCCAGGTAAAAGACCTGGGTCTGGAGCTTGCGGCCCTTAGGAAGGAATTTAATGAGCGCACTGCGCACTTTGCGCAGTTAAAGGGAAACCCCGTCTCGGGGGAGAGTCCCTTCACTCCGGATGCCCTCCGTCAAATGATGGAGGGGCTTTTAGACGGGGTGAGGGAGAGTCTGTTGGGGGAGGTGATGAGGGCTGTGGGGGGTATGTTTGATGCCAAGTTGGCGGGGATCGCGGACAGGCTCCTTCCAGAGCCTGTGCTGCGCCCCCGCTGGCGGCATCAGCCCGTGGTTCCCAGGGGGCTCCTAAGGATTCCGTAGGGTGTGGGGCACAGGTGGCCTCGTGTTGTTCGGGGCTCCAGGGAAAGAGAGCCCCTAAGGGTCTCGCAGGGGGCGTGGCCCATGGGGCCTCAGATGGTTTAGGGCCTTTGGGCCCCGGAGGAAATGCACCGGGAGTTTCAGAAAATAATGGAGGGGTCTCTTCAGAGGCGCCTCCAGTAAGTGGAAACTGGGCGACAGTGGCCGGCAAAAAGGGGAAAAAGAGCAAGGGGATGAAGTCGGGCAGTCTTCCCGCTGCACCGGTTCTTTCGGCTAAGGGTGATGCAGGTCCTCCGGCGGAGCAGTCGGCGGCTGAGAAGAGACCGGTTGGGGTGCGGTCTTCCCTTGCCCCGCCGACAACTGCTGCAGTGGTTATCACACTGCTGCAGGGGGCGGTGGAGCGGGGGTCACCTACGCTGTTGCTTTGTCCAAGGCCAGGCAGGCTATCAGTCTGTCTGACTTGGGCATTGAGCGTGTTGGCATCCGGGTGACGGCGACCGGAGCTCGAATACTGGAGGTGCCTGGAGAAGGCCGGGAGGAGAAAGCGAACCGTCTAGCGGAAAAGTTGAGAGCGGTGCTGTCGGAGGAGGCCGTGGTGGGGCGGCCCGTCAAGTGTGCGGACCTCCGCATTAGGGATCTTGACGACAGCATAACCGAGAAGGATGTGATGGAGGCGGTGGCTGCCATGGGGGGTGCCAAGTGGCCGCTATCAAGCCGGGGAAAATAATAAGGCGTGGGGAAGGGAATGGAATGGGGGAGATGTTCCTCCTGTGCCCGGTTGCCTCCGCCAATAAGATAAAGAGCGGGAGGCTCCTCATCGGGTGGAGTTCCTGCCGGGTGGATATCCGGGAGGAGCGCCCTTTGAGGTGTTATAGATGTCAAAAGCTGGGTCATGTGCGTGCGACATGTGACTCGGCGGTCAGCCTGGAGGAGGCTTGCCACCGATGTGGGGTTGCGGGCCATAAGGCCAATGAATGCAGCTCGAAAGAGTTGCATTGTGTGGTTTGCTCAGCGGCCGGGATGCCGGCGAACCACAAAATGGCGGGTAGGGCCTGCAACCCCCTAGACAGAGGAGGGCCCCGTATGCTTCTAAAGCGTCCAGCACGGTGGCAGGGAACACTCCCATGGAGGTTGGTGTAGAGCTGTCAAACAAATAAAATGGTTGACAGCAACACTAGCTTTCTACAGGGGAATTTAAGACGCTCCGCTGCGGCTCAGGACTTGTTCCTACAGTCGATGGCGGAGTGGGGTGTGATGGCCGCCGTCGTCACTGAGCCCCACTATATGTCGCGGCAGAGCTCGTGGGTGGGGGACCTTCGAGGTGATGCGGCTGTAATTGCTCGGCCGTATGGTCCTCCTCTCTCCCTAAGAGAGAGGTTCCGGATTCGTTCTTGCTGATTGGGGGATTGGACGCTCGTAGGAGCGTATTTTTTCCCCCAATGAGAGTCTGAGCCACTTCGAGGGTTTCCTTGACGCCATGGGCCTGGCCGTACGGAGGGCTCTCCCGCGACCCCTTATCCTCATGGGAGACCTTAATGCGAGGTCTCCCACTTGGGGTGACAGGATGTCGTGCCGGAGGGGCCCGGTTCTGGAGGAGTGGGCGGCGGAGTTGGGCCTAGTTTTCCTAAATGAGGGAACGGAGCCCACCTGTGTTCGCCCGCAGGGCAGTTCAAGGGTGGATGTCACCCTTGCTTCTGCGGCGGCGGCCCGTGTGACGACGGCATGGAGCGTGCTGGATGGAGTAGAGACCCTATCGGATCATCGATATATCCGGATGTGGGTCTCTACTTCGATGAGGTGGGGTGTGCGGGGGCACAATCGAATGAGTTTCCCCCGCTGGTCTATACGCCGGCTTGACCGTCAGATTGCGGGGAGGTGGCCATTGTAGAGGGGTGGTGTGCGCCCACTGGTGTTCTGGATGTGGATGATGGAGCTGGCAGGCTGAGCCTAAGTCTCCGAAGGGTGTCGGATGCGGCAATGCCCAAATGGAGGCCGCCGAAGGGGAGGAGAGCGGTCTACTGGTGGACGTCGGAGATTGGCAATCTCCGGGGCGCATGTGGCGAGGCCAGAAGGGCCTACTACAGGAGTCGCCGGAGGAGTGGAGATAGTCCCAATGTCACGGAGGGCCTTCGTTTGATCTATAATGATCGCAAGAAGGCTCTCCAGGGGGCTATCTGTGAGGCGAAGGAGGGGCCCATCAGGAGATGCTTCGGGGGTTGGATGATGATCCGTGGGGGCGCCCCTACCGATTGACTCGTAAGAGACTGAAAGGTACGGGGATGCCTCTCGTGGAGAGTCTGGAACCGACCTTCCTGAAGCGGGTGGTGGCGGATCTGTTTCCTTTGCCTCCCGACATTGTGCCTCCAAATATGGCGGCGTCTGTGGTGGAGGTGGCGGGCGGGGAGGGCGGGATGGCGCCGGAAGTCTCTGATATAGAGATGGAGGCTATCCTGACCCGTCTCAAAGCCCGCAAGAAAGCACCTGGTCCTGATGGTGTGCATGCGCGTGTCTTGGCAGTAGTCCTCCCTCATATGGAGGTCTCCGTCCGGGAGCTGTACACCGCGTGTTTGCGCGGTGGACGGTTCCCGGTGGCTTGGAAGACGGGACGACTGTGTCTCGTGCGGAAGGAGGGCCGCCCGGCGGACAGTTCGGCGGCTTACCGCCCTATTGTCCTTTTGGATGAGGCGGGCAAGGCGCTGGAGTGGGTCGTGGCGTCTCGGTTGTGCCGGCACCTCTCTGTTGAGGGGCCGGATCTGAGCGAGGCACAGTACGGCTTTCGGGCGGGTCGGTCGACGCTCGATGCTCTTCGGGACCTGAGGTCTCACACCGGTGGGGTGGTTAGCGGGGAGGAAGCGCATTGGCAGTATCATTAGATATTGCCAATGCCTTCAATAGTCTCCCTTTTGGCGTGGTTGGAGAGGCCCTTGAATTTTTTGAGGTCCCTCTGTATCTGCGCCGAATAGTGGGGACTATTTTGCGGGGAGACAGATCGTGTACTCCAATAGAGAGGGCACGGTCTGTTACCACCCTGTGCGGTGTGGGGTACCTCAAGGCTCGGTCCTAGGGCCACTCCTGTGGGACATGGCCTACGATTGGGTGTTGCGGGGCGCGCTTCTGCCAGGATTGCGTGTCTTCTGCTACGCAGACGATACCCTCGTAGTGGCCAGTGGGGCAAGCTATGGGGAGGTGGCTCGACTTGCAACGGTTGGCACCTCCCTTACTGTTAGACGGATAGGGGCCCTGGGCCTTAGGGTGTCTCTCGATAAGACGGACGCCCTATTGTTCCATGGCCCTAGGAATGGTCCACCTCCTGGGGCGGTCCTGATGGTGGAAGGAGTAGGGGTTCCAGTGTCGTCCAAGATGAAATACCTTGGTCTCGTCTTGGACGGTCGCTGGAACTTTGAGGCCCACTTTAAGGCTCTCGGGGGGAAGTTGGTGGGGGCGGCGGGGGCGCTAGCACGGCTTCTGCCTAATATTGGGGGCCCTAAGCAGAGTGTGCGGAGGCTGTACTGTGGTGTTATACGCAGTATGGCCTTGTATGGGGGCCCCAATATGGGACGATAGGTTGGGGGCGAAGAACTGCACCCTGCTCAGGAGGCCGCAGCGAGTGATGGCGGTTCGGGCAGCTCGCTGCTACCGGACTGTCTCATTCGAGGCGGCGTGCCTGTTGGCGGGGACCCCGCCCTGGGAGTTGGAGGCGGTGGCCCTAGGCGCTCTGTATCGTCTCAAGGGTGAGACGAGGGCAGATGGCCGATGGGCCGAACTGGTCGGACCGGCGAGGAGGCAAGCCAGGGAGGACACCTTTGATAGGTGGGCCTATGATCTGGCTATGCCTAGGGCGGGAGTACGAACAGTGGAGGCGATTCGCCCATTCTTACGGGAATGGGTAAATCGTCCGAGTGGAGCTGTGTCCTTTCGGATGGCGCAGATGCTGTCCGGGCATGGGTGCTTTGGACGGTTTCTGCACAAGGTGGCGGGACGGGAAACCTATCCCATCTGCCACCATTGTGGCGCCCCAGAGGACACGGCGGAGCACACCCTGGCTGAATGTGCCACTTGGTCGAGGCAACGCCACGACCTAGTGTCGGTCATCGGGATGGACCTCTCGCTACCGAGCGTTGTTGCAGCAATGCTTGGTAGCCAGGAGGCATGGCGTGCGGTAGCTTTCTTCTGTGAGCGCGTTTTGCTGCAGAAGGAGGCTGCTGAGCGTCAGCGGGAGGTGCGTGGCGATGGCCGAAGGGGTTGTGCTCGGCGGCGGCGAGGCGTGGGCGCGGGGGCTATGCCCAACAGCGTCCCACTGCGCCGTCGTTGAGCCCTTATGCGGACATATTCGCCTGAATTCCCTGGGTTGAATGCCTTGTGCGACCCCCGGGGAATTCAATGCGGTGCCAGATGTCATTCATTCAGAATGGATGTGTCTGGCACTGCAGGCGATATGGAGGGTTTAGGAGGAATTTTTAGTGGGTCGGGTTTCTCCCCTCTGATTAGCAGAGGGATAAGAGATAACCATCCCCACAGTCCCCGCGGTAGCGACTGCATACGCCCGCGGGCCTGCATTTGTGCATTTTCACCTCCTTTATAAAAAAAAAAAAAAAAAGGTTAGGTTAGGTTAGGTTAGGTTAGGTTAGGTTAGGTTAGGTTAGGTTAGGTTAGGTTAGGTTAGGTTAGGTTAGGTTAGGTTAGGTTAGGTTAGGTTAGGTTAGGTTAGGTTAGGTTAGGTTGGGTTAGGTTAGGTTAGGTTAGGTTAGGTTAGGTTAGGTTAGGTTAGGTTAGGTTAGGTTAGGTTAGGTTAGGTTAGGTTAGGTTAGGTTAGGTTAGGTTAGGTTAGGTTAGGTTAGGTTAGGTTAGGTTAGGTTAGGTTAGGTTAGGTTAGGTTAGGTTAGGTTAGGTTAGGTTAGGTTAGGTTAGGTTAGGTTAGGTTAGGTTAGGTTAGGTTAGGTTAGGTTAGGTTAGGTTAGGTTAGGTTAGGTTAGGTTAGGTTAGGTTAGGTTAGGTTAGGTTAGGTTAGGTTAGGTTTTTTTTTTTTTTTTTTTTTTTAATTGTTAGTAGGCCTACCATCCCCGGCGACTAACGCCCCGGGGCCGAGGAAGCTAAGCTAAGGTACAGCTCGAAGTCTTTATTAAAGTAAAACAGATATATACAGTGGTTGTGGATTAGGTGGTTGAGGGTTGGTTTTGCTATTTGATACAATTCTTTTCCCTCAACCACCTGAACAGAGTCCACGTCTTAAAACTAGTAATTATATAAAAAATGAAAGTGAAATATTAACAGGTTATTTTGTGCTTAAATAAGTAGGTTGATAATATAAGATTTTTAACACAAAGTAGTATATAAAAGTGGTTATATAGTTATTAAAGTAACAGTTATGTTTATTATTACATAGGTATTAGGAATTAAACGCGGGTAGGTTGTTGAGGGTCGGTTCTGCTATTAGATACAGTAACCTTCCCTCAGCCGCCCAATTTAAGTCCGCTTCCTAATACGTACATTAAACACAACGCAAACAGAATTTAGAGCTAAAGTAAAATAAAAATGTAAAAATACACACTGGAATGAATAAAACAGTTGTTATAAAATCAATTTTAAACAGATAGGCTTTAATAATGAGCCTGTAAATGACTAAGCTGGTGTTTGGAGTTGGACACGGGTAGGTTGTTGAGGGTCGGTTCTGCTATTAGATACAAAAACCTTCCCTCAGCCGCCCAATTTAAGTCCGCTTCCTACCACCAACATTAAACATGACACAAGCAAAATTTAGAATTAAAGTAAAATAAAGGTGTAAAAATATTCAATGGAATGGAATAAAACAGTTGTTATAAAATTAAGTTTGTAAAAATACACAATGGAAAGGAATATAACAGTTGTTGTAAAATTAAGTTTAAACAGATAGGCTTTAATAATGTGCCTGTAAATGACCATGATGGTGTTTGGAGTTGGACACGGGTAGGTTGTTGAGGGTCGGTTCTGCTATTAGATACAATAACCTTCCCTCAGCCGCCCAATTTAAGTCCGCTTCCTAACACCAACATTAAACATAACACAAACAAAATATAGAATTAAAGTAAAATAAAGGTGTAAAAATACACAATAGAATGGAATAAAACAGTTGTTATAAAATTAAGTTTAAACAGATGGGCTTTAATAATGTGCCTGTAAAGTTTAGCATTTACTTATGCACAATATTAAACATAGAAAGTTTTACATTTACACATACAGTTGATATAAGGTTAAACTCAAACAGGGATAATCTATAGTGAATTGTGCTTGTATATATTAAACCTAGTAATAGAATAGTCCGTAACTAGTTACACAAACAAGATTACAAATGAAGTGAAATAGAGTTAAAATTATAGTTAATATTATAATTTATGTTTAGTGCAGATGGTATTAGCACAGCAAGGTATGATTTAAATAAAAGAATAATCGTAAAAAAATAAATCTAGGTTAAATATTTAAGTAGTTAGTATAGTAATTGTAAACAGTGTAAAAGGTTATAGATGGAGAGAAATGACTATATACATTTTTGTACGGGTGAGGGCGGATTACTTGCCGATTAATTGTTAAATATAAGTGAAAAATATAAGATATAAACATTTAGAAGGCTTTGATAGTGCACACGAGGTTTGGGAAGGGTTGCGTTGTTTAATAAGGGGTAAGGATTGTGGATGTTTTCGTGTTTTTGTGTAGATAGACAAATGCCCCAGTGCAAGTGCTGCGCGTTGAGGTCGCTGTTAATGTAAGTGTTTGATTTGTTTGATTGTGTGTCATTATGTTATTTAATGTTAAGTTAGTGTTTTGTGTGTGTTTTAAATGTAGTTAATTTTTGCCTCAACGCGGGCACGCATGGCTGTAACTTTGGGGCATTTGTCTGAGTCGGCGCGGTGTAGAGTGCAGGTGTTGGTGTTGAATTGCTTGTTATGTTCTGCGCAATTGGTGCAGTTGTGTACTTCGGCCTTGCACTCCGCTGTAGGATGGTGAGCGGAGCACTTGGCGCATGTGGGTGTGGTGTTGGGGCAGCGGCTCTTTGTGTGTCCGAAATTTAGACAGTTTTGACACTGCCTAAACGGTGAAAAAGTTGTCACTGTGGACCCGCTGCATCCCTATGTTAACTCTGCCTAGGTCGGCAAACGCCTTCCAGGCAGAGGGTGTGGTGTTAAGAACTGCGTTATATAGTGAAGTGTTCCTGTTGTTAGCTATGAATTTGACGGTAAATGTGTGTTTAGTTAAGGTGGTGTTTTGGTCTTTAATTGTTTTTGTGAGTTCAAATTCAGGTATGTTTTTTGAAATCCCTTTAAGAATAATCATTGGGTCTATGCGTTTTTCCTCTTGAGTGTGTATTTTTGTGTTATTTTGTAGTCGTGAAATTGTGTGTTGTTTATGATCTTCTCGTTCAAAAACAAGTTTGATCTTTTGTTTTGATAGTGGGGTGACCCTTAAAGGGGCGTATCCGCCCTCTCTGAAATTAACGGTTCTACTAATTTGAGTTAGTATCTGTTCTGTTGTGTCTAGACCCTCTCCGGACACGATGATGGAAGGCCCTGCAGGGGGTTTGGGGGTGGCGGCGGCCTTAGCGTAAGATTTATAAGTCTTATGCGGGTCCGCCGACACTGGTTGTATCTCCGGCGGCGCGGGTTTAGGGGATGCCTTAAGAACCCTGGTGTGTTCCTGCAAGGCCTTATTCGATTCATCGAGTAGCCGAGAGTGGGCCTCGAGTTTCTGTAGTAATTGTGTGGTGTGTATGTGTGTATCGGTTGGCGGTGTAGTCGTTGAGGGTGTAATCGTGGCTTTGGTAGCCTGTGGTGTGTGCGGTGCGGGGGCAGGAGGGTTGGGAGGGGTGGTAGGTGAGGGGTCAATGAGGCCGACGACCCCGAAGAGGCCTTCGATTGCCTCTGTGATAGCAGTTTTTAGCTCCCTTTTAAATTGCGGGAGGCAGCGAGAGCTTGTAGGCCCGTCTGCCTGTATTCTTTGGCCATCTCCATATGAGCCGACTCTGTTGGGCGTTTTACGCGAGTGAAGGCCGGGCTCAACATCTCTACTAAGGTCCGTCTAGCTGGTGTTGCGGACGTAGAGGAGTAGGGGCTTTGTTTGTTGGTTTGGGTGGAGTTCGGGGTAACATTTTGCTGGTGGAGGGTGAGGGGGGGTGAGGGGGAGCTGAAATGTGGACAGGTGTATTCGCCTCTTCGAGCTGAGTTGTTTGATACCCAACTCGAGGGGTAGGGGTGAGGGGGGAGATTTTGTAGCAATGGGGGAAAAACCTGTTTTGTGGGGTGGAGGGGGTTTGCGAAAAGGAACAGTATACGCTATCAAATAGAGCTCGCCGAGCCGGTTTAAATAAGCCCAAGCTCGACGGGTTTAGGATAAAATTTAAAAATATTGAAAAATTTATAAATATGGGGCTGGTAATCCACCCTACCTGAAGTTTAAGAACAGGATTGCTCAGCAGCTGTTGCTCGTAGTGTAGAGGTGTTTGTTATTTTCTAGTTGCCCTCGGAGAGGACAAGCCGCTGGTTATGGTGCTGGAGTTGTTCCAGCTGGTCACCAGACAATCTGGTGTCCAGTTGGGTGGTTGGTAGAGTTTACTATCTTGAGAATAAGTGGTAAGGTGAAGTCAATTGCTGGCTATTTAACTGTAGTAGACTTGGATTTTTAGCTGGTGTGGTTCCTGTGGAAACCCTGGTCCTAAAGTTGTTTTGGGTCGTATCCTCTGAAGTATACGTCGGATCAAAATGTTCTTGGTGTCGGCAGTTGCGCACTGATGAGCTGGTTATTACTGTCTTAAAATATTGGTAGTGGTGATTTGTTTCGGTGTGGTTTACCCCCAAAAACGGTTTTCCTCTGTTTGAGGGGATATTTCAGCACGGATTTTCTTGTAATATATGTCAAACGATACCTCTCCGTCTACCGGTTCTAATAGACACGTTAAATGAACTGTAACTTGTGGGGCACTGGCAGGAGGGGCAAAACCCTTATTTTTGAAGTTATTTGGCTCTAAAAAATCTGTTCTTTGGCCCAAAATTATAAAATGGGTATCAGACGATAGCCCTCAATTAGGACTATCGTTTTAAGCTATAATAAGTTACCCTTACAGATCTTAATAAAAAGTTATTGACCTTTTTCCGGTATTTCGTCCATGGAATCCTTGGTTGTGGACCCTTATCAACCAAAATTAGGTCGAAATGACCGCCTTAACTCACTCTATTACACTACACAATAAAAACAATTTTTTGAACACTGACACTATTTTTAAAATTGAAAAAACTGAAATTTTTAATGTTTTTTGAAGAAATAAAATATAAAACTAAAACTTTTTTA